ACCTAAGATTGGTTTATTAGAGTTTGTTCTTGAGATAGTCTTTGAGGGACCGGGAGTTTGGAATGCTTGTGACTAGATTGGTCTGTAGCCTGCAGTGGGGACCAATTAATGCCTCCATAGTTGACCCAGTTCACCTAAAGAAGGGCTTGAGTAATTAAAAATAATAATAATAATAAATATATATATGTAAATATATATAAATTGCAGGCATGCTTTCATTTGTTGGGTAGTCACTTGGAATATTGTTTCTAGTCTGATAAATAATAGATATAAATAGAGCAGGAGAGAGCCTAGATAAGTAAATGTTTGAAATGGGAAGAATTTAGGCTTCTGTATGAGAAAGGATTAAAAAAATTGATTAAGCTGGAGACAACATAATTAAAGTTATTAATATTTGGATGGGGTAAACAGTACTGATTTATTCACCAGTTTAGGAATCAGATGCATAGTATGATGCTTCAGAGAGGCAATTTTAAGGCAGGTAAAAGAAGGTCTATAAAGGACTTCAGATTTCTTAGCATCAGTATATAGTATAGGTAGAAATAAGAAAAAAAATTTTTTTTTTTAGAAAGGTCAGTGTAAAGCACTTTCATTGCAATAATAAAACTTGAAATTCATGTAGTGCAGGGGTGGTGGTGGGGTGGTGGTTAGGCAGTAGGCAGCAGTAATTTCTCTCACCAAATAACTACGCAGGACAGCAAAGGAGTGTGTTGCGGGGGGCAGTGAGTGTGTGTGGAGGGGGCAGTGAGTAGGAAAAGCTAGGAAACTGAGATCAGCAGGGGAGGCTGAGCGTCAAAAAACAGGAGATTCTGCCCTGGCTAGTGTGCTCAGTGGTTAGAGCGTGGGCCCCTGGACCAAAACGTCTTAGGTACTAATCCCAGTCAAGACTTGATCCCTGCTCCGGTTGGTTGGGGCATGTGCCGGAGGCAACCAATTGATCTCACATCGATGTTTCTCTCCCCCACTCTAAAATTGAATGGGAAAAAAAAATTCTTGGGTGAGAATTAAAAAACAAACAAACAAAAAAACACACACAGGATATTCTGAAGCTGTGATGACCAGCATAGCATCATTTTCTTAAGACAACATTCAAGGCTTTGTCATGATAGCTGGGCTCTCATTCGGTGTTACCTGTCTACGAACAGCACCTTCAATTTAAACTTTCGATTGAAGTCCTTAAAATTTAGGAATTGGAGCCTGGATAGCTAAGAGATTATAAAAGTCCTGAATATCTTAGGGGGGAAAAACACAGGATTGGGGTATGGGGGACAGCCAGGCCATGAAGAAGGCTTCAGAGGTGCCTGCTGGTCCAGGGACATATATTTCTCATGTCCAACATTGCAGTGAAAATGATTTGCTTTTAAAAGGCAGAGGGTTTAAGGGAAGAGTGGGATGGGGCAATGGAGGCAGGTGCTCTCCCCCTCCCCACTTCAGTTTTGGGTAGGGCTCTTAATTCAACCCAAAGACATCTCTCAACTTGGAGATACTTTGGACCTCAGTAGCAACTCAAATCTATGGCTTTACAGCTCAGCGGCAAAAATATTTAACATATAATAGATAAAAAGTTTCATCCAAAAATAAAGATTGTGTGTCCCCCTCCCACACCAATTCCTATCTGAAGTTAACCCATTACTTGTATTGTTACTACTTGACTAATGTAGATCCAAAAGACTGAAACTGAATCTTCACCCCCAAATCAAAACAGAATAAAAAGAGTAACTTGAAGTTTATTGTATATAGTTCAGGTCAACACACATATGAGGAGAAAGAGGAAGAGCAAAGCTGGGCACAGAACACAAGGCAAATATTTATACAGAGAGTGTAGTAGAGCATTAGGAAAAGCTCCGGCAGGTCCCTCTCTGGCACATCCAAGAATAGGGAGCCCAGGGAACAGGCCATTCCTGTCATTCTAGGTTTAGAAGCTACCCGTCAAAGACCAGAGTGGCACCACGGGCATAGTCTTGGAGATAGTTTGGTTCTCTGAACCACACTCATCTGGGCAACCCCTTCTTCCCAGCCTTGGATCACCTTCTGCTTGTCTAGCATAAATTTAAAGGACTTGTTTCTGTCCCAGGAGAAAGCAGATTTCTTTCCATCTTCATGCATCCCTGCGTAGTGCACCACGCAGGTCTGGCCCTGCTTCAGGAAAGTGCTCATCTCCCCCTGCCCCCCTCAGCAGAAGCATGGGTGGCTGTGGCCGCAGTATGATGGCGGGGGGTGGGGAGGGGGTGTTCCAGGGCTTTACCTCCACCCCAAGAAAATACTGATTTAAGAAAAGTATTTGAGGGGGGAAGAGAGGGGAGAAATATAGTTTGAAAAGATATCTTTAATACCATATGTCAGCTTTATATTTGGAAACAACCCTAGGGGTTTTTTTTCTTTTTAAACTATAGAAAGAATGAGAAATTTTAAAATTCAAGAAAAGGAGACATAATTTAAAGAGAGATAAATATCGAGGTAGGTAAATTCATAAATGGCAAATTCATTGAGTTGGGAATAAGGAGAGGATGTGTTCAACTGAGAGTTTCATTTATTAGACTGGCTGGTAAGTTATATTGTTCTTCATACCCTTTTGTAGGTCTTAAATATTATATAATAAAATATTTCCCCAACTTTTTATTATATAAAAGGTTCAATTAATATGCAATTTTTAACATTTTGTTTGGGATTTTTATCTCTCTGTTTTTGCCTTGAGGGTGAGGTAATCATATCTTTTCCTGAATACCATGTTGATAGCATTCAATATTTTTCAGCTTTTATAGAATGACTTGAGTCTCAATCTGTTTCATTTGGGAACTATAATAAAATAATAAAATATTAAAGTCAGATCTTTTGAGGGATTTTAAAATCAGTCCTGTAATCTGTTTCTTTGTGAGAAGATCAACTTGAAAAAAGTCATGTTCTTTAGCACTGTGTGTACAAGATAGTGGTTATTCATGATGGGAAGGGAGGTAGGAGGAGAGGAGGATGTGTTCAACTGAGAGTTTCATTTATTAGACTGGCTGTTATATTCTTCATACCCTTTTGTGGGTCTTAAATATTATATAATAAAATATTTCCCCAACTTTTTATTATATAAAAGGTTCAATTAATATGCAGTTTTTAACATTTTGTTTGGGATTTTTATCTCTATATATCTATATACTCTTTATATACATACTTTTTTCCTAAACTATTTAAAAGTAAGTTACAGACATCACAATTATTCTTAAGTATCCCAGCTATTCCTAACAATAGAGATACTCTTTCCTATACCATTACCATTCTAATGGTACCTAAGACAAGAATTCCATTATATAATCTAATATCCTGTCTATTTAAATTCTCCGATTGTCCCTAAGATGTCTTTTATAGCAGATTTTATCTATTATAAAATGAAGGCTCACTTACTGCTTTTGGTTGTCTCTAGTCTCAGCCTGAAATCTTCCTTCCACTGTTTTTTGATACTTTTTGAAGAGTCCTGGCCAATATAGTTTCTTTTGCGTTTTTACCTTTGCCGGCTGATTTCTAAGGATCAATGGAGATGATAGATTATCTTATTTCTTGCACTTTATTATTGTCTAATTATTTTTAGAGTAAAACTTGTTATTTATACTTTAAATGTATGTCTAAATTCACGTTTTTAGGTTTTATTTAGAGCTCTCTTCCTGCATTGTTGTTCATTTATATTTAAGAGCTTAATGGTGATAATGCACCATTGGTGGTTGAATTTCACAGGTCTCATTTGTTTAGGTTGCTAAGAGAATGTTGGCTTATATAGGGACAATCAGAATGATTTGTTTTAAGTTTAGTGACGTAATGAATATCTGTGTAAGCATAGAAAAGACTAAACCTAAGCAATTCAAATGAAATTTCAAGGATTGAATTAGTATTTGCAAAGGACTTAAATTGTTTTTTGGCTATGACAATCATGTGGCATCGTCCCATGATTACTTTACATATTTAAATCAGTTCTTTAAACTCTGACATAATTTTTTATTGGCAGGGCATAAGTGTTTTTCTAGTCTTTATAATGAAAAAAATTTTGGCAGGTCTTTTAAAATAGCCATAAAGGGATTTAATTGTCTTAAAATGATTCTTAAGTTTTATGGTGCATTTAAATTAGTCTGTTTGGATGACCAAAAAAAACCTTTCATTCAATAGACTTTTGGGATATATGTAATAGATATATATCTATATCTACATATCTCTCTATACACATATATATACATATGTATATATGAATGAATTGTACATGGAAGTCATTTCTGAAGTGATGCAAGAGAGGTGCCTGGCGGCTAACTGTAAATAAATCTTTGTCTTGATAGAACTTGAATAAGTAAATGAGAGTATTTTAATTTTCAAAGTAATTCTCCTACATAGTCCCTTTTAAAATAAATTTTAAGACCATATACTTACATTTTAAAACTTCCTGCTGGGCGTACTCAAAGATGCAGAATACTCCATAGAAGCCCTGGAAGGCTGGTGTTCTGAGTACCCCTTGTTCAGCAACAAAGATGGTACCTTGTATAAATTTAAGTTGTCAAGTATACTGAGTAACTTCAAGTTATAGTGGGACTAGCTAACCAATTAAACAAGGACAAAAGATGATATAAATCTATTATATTACAGGAAAAATAAAGTATATAATCTTAAAGAAAAGTTTTAAATGGGACTTTTTGTTTATTTGGACTGCTTGAGATTTTTATTTTATGGAGGTAAAACTGAAATTATGAGTATAAAATATATTTCCAATCATACTTAGCATGCTCTGTGTTATCTGCTGAAGTTTTTTCTGAGGTTTTCTAGAAGTTGAAGTAAGTTATTAAATAACCTACTTTTATTTATTATTGAGAAAGAACACTCCCTTTTAAGAAATCAAAATTTTCATGCCAGGCATTTGATTGGTGATTTTACTTTTAGGTCCTTTTGCTAACTTTTAAAAAAAAATGTTTGCTTTTTAAGGCAGAGTTGAATGTACTAAAAGATGCAATTTAAATTCTTAAAGTTTTTAATTACAAATTATTTTCTCTTACCAGGAGGCAGGCGGAAGTCATCATAAAGTTTCTGTTTCACCCGTTGTCCATGTTCGAGGACTCTGTGAATCTGTGGTGGAAGCAGACCTTGTGGAGGCTCTGGAAAAATTTGGGACAATATGGTAAGGACAGTAGGGCCTTCGTGTAGACTGAGCACAGTGTGGGAGAACAAGCCTTGCTTAGTTGCTGCTGCCTTGAGGTTTAACCATTGTATATATTAAGTTTGCTTTTCACTGTATTTTTTTGGAATGTTGTTGTTTTTGACTTTTGCGGGATGATGCATGGATGTACTTTTGTGGCCATAATCACATTACCTCTCACTCCCCAACCAGGGTGTATGTAAAATTGATTATGCTTCCTTCATCTGGTTTTCAAATTAGTCCGTGATTCCTCCTTAAACACTGCTTTAAACCGATGAGTTGATTACATCCTTCATCTTCAGAGTTTGAAGTGGTTAGTGGTACTTAAATAGTGTTTTAAAAAAAAATTATTTTGGAATATTTACAAGTTGGCAGCTAAGAGTGGGTAGGTGAAAAGTAGGCATTATTTGCTTAGCTACATGTTGTGGTGAGTTCTTTTGCAGGTCCTGAGCAGTCAGTGTTTTATCCTAGCTTGTCTTCCATTTGTGTGTTGAATTTACTCAGGCTCCTCCTTTCTCTTACCACAGCTGGTGTGTGCTTAAGAATATTGGGAAGTGAAAACATAATTAGAAAAATGAATCTGCTACCAAAAATAGACACTTAAGAATCCTTCCTAAATTATTTTTGGAGTATGCCTGGTTGTTCTCTTCTTAGCATGCATAATCTAGAGTTGATTTTTATTATTGTTTTTTCCTTGATGACTATGTTTGGGATTTTTGCTTTAGGCCTCAGTGATACAGACTAAGTCAAAATATATAAACAGGAGAAAAATTTCAATATATTGGCTCAGATAGCTTGATTGCTTCAATTTTATAAAAATTTATATGGAGTTTTTGAGTATTGAAAGGTTGATGCATAAATAGATGGTGAGGGAGTGATCAGACATGTCCAATAGAAAGAAATCATTGCTTTAAAAAAGTAGGAGTAGTTTTAGGCGATACCTTCTATTATGGCATCTTTTTTATTTCTTTGGCTGCTTCATTGAGAGGTGGATGACTTGGCAAACCTGTTATCCTCAACTTATGTACCTCAGAAATCACTGACTGATACATATTGTTTATCCTTGGAGGTACAAATTGGGAATCCACATGGGCGTAAGAAAGCAAGCCCATTTCCTGAAGCATCATCACTAAGGTGACTATATCACTTCTCAGTCATTTGGAGTGGATCTTGGAAGTTAAGTCTGTCTGGAGAGTTGTGTATTGAAGCAGACTCCTTAGACCTTATTAGACTTGCATGTTGGCACTAGCCTAACTTGATTCACTATAAGGACCTTCTTCTAAGTGGTGCACTGTCTCATGGAGTTATAAAGAGATAGTTATTTCTGTTTTATTTTTCTTTTGTTCTTATATATTTAGGGCTTTTATTTTCTTACAGCTAAGAAATACTGAAGCATTGTGAGAAAAACAAGTTGGTGAAACTGTGATGTTAATTAGGACCATGACCTGAATGTTGGGATTAAAGAAAGAACTATGTGTTTAAGTTGGTAATTTGAGTTACTTTTGGGTGGCCTATTAATTTTTAGAGTCTGTACTGTTTAATACCATGTTCATGGTAAAGTGTTCCATATATGAATATTACTGAGTTAACTTGCATAGTACATCACTCTGCCCTCAAGATTGGTAGTTATGTGGCTAGGAAGGTCGTGAAGTAATTGGAACAAATTAGTGTATAAATTAAGAGCTTAATTGGCATAAATATGAATAATAGGAGTTTTAGTTGTATGAAATGATATTGAATAAGTGACTGCAATTAAAGCTGAAAGAATCTTGAATAGACTCCCATGAAGAGCAAGTGTTTTACTTCAAAATGTTGTATTTATAGAACCTTTCCCTCTTTGTTTATTTTGTGATATGTAATTATACAGATAATGTAGAAACTGCTCATATTAAAAAGGTGAATCATCAAGTTCAATATTTGGTAAGTTTATACCTAAAAACTAGATGCATAGGAAGAAGTTCAGGAGAAACTATAACAAGATGTTGAAAATGATTGTGTCAGGATAATAAAATTGCTATATTTTATGTCTTTATTCTGTAGTATATTCATGTATTATAATCAAAAGATTTAAAAAATATATACTGAGTCTCCCTTTCCCCCTTCCATTTTTTTAAATTCCTCCCTCCCATTAAAGGAGAGGATTCTAGGTAGTGATTAGTTTAGAATTTTATAACAGAACTTTTGAGATGTAATTTGTATAGTAAATCTTTTGCTGCCTCCTGTTTTTATTTAAAATTTAGTTAATATGTCTCAAACTGTAAGCTGAAAGCACCAACCATGTCCCTTAGACTTTTTGTTTATTTTTTTTCTCTTTGGTCTTTCAGTCTTCCTCATACTAATGCTTTTTAAAGATTTCTAAAAAATTATGTGCCAGACAACTTAAGCGCATTGTTAAAATATCTTCGATAATTTGAATTTTCTCTATCTTCATATGATACCACTTTCCTGGGTAACTTTTTTAACTTTTAAGGCTTTGCTTCTAGCTCACTTCTATTGTAGTTCTAGAAAGCAATTTTACTGTGATCAAGTCTATGATATGCCAATAAAGAATTTTTTTTTTTAATGTTTATTAAGTTTTCTGTCCAAAGAGCCAAAAGCCATTATTAACATATTTACTTGGCAATATTATTTAGCTATTAAACCAACTTATCTTTATGAGAGAATATTTATTCTTCTTTAATTTCTTCAGCATAGACCTGATTCCAGGGTTTTCTATTTTTTGTATGCCCATGACTTCTTTTTTATATATCTTGATTGTTGAAAATATGACAGATGTCTTCCCCCTCATTCTGGTAAGGAGTCTGTGATCCTAAAGGGAATGTTTCTCTCCTAGGACTTATATCTTGTATTTATAGTTGGTAAATCTTTAAATCCAAAGCCTTATTGTTTCTGTATTTTCTTTAATTTTGCATGATGTGAGCTAACAAGCGTCATAGACCAACAAATACTGATTGAGTGCCTGTTACATGCCAGGTTCTTTTTTTTTTAGATTCTGAGGATATAAAAGTGAATGAGGCAAGGCAAGCAGTTTGTGTAACTGTAATCTTGGTAACAATTCTCCAAAGTTTTATAAATGAGGAGGCTGAAATTCATAAGCAGTTACATAATTTGTGAGGCTACAAAGTGGTCTGTTTTTTATTAGTAAGCCATTTGCCAGTTTTTAAAGAATAGCAGTAGGTCCCAGATGCCTAATTGAGAAGCATTGTTGTCATCAAGTACTTGACCTGATGTTAATTTTCTGGCCTTCTATTATAAAAACCATGTTAATTATATTTAAAAACATTTTTAAGGTTCTTATTTCTGTGAATAGAGGACGTTGTTTCCCCAGTTGTGATCCATGTGCTCTGATTTCTCTCTTCCCTCCCTTCTTTCATTTATTTTTAATTTCATTTATTAAAATATATTCCTCCCCCCAAAAGAATATACAGTGAAAAGTAAATACTTCACCTTCTTGCCCATAGGCAACCATGATTACCATATTCTAGTGAATATTTTTTCACATTCTTTAATATTTAAAACTAGTTTTGGGGGAGATTATTGGTATGGAATTTGGTCAGTTTGCAATTGCTTTTGTTTGTCTTTGCTTCTCTGTTTTTAGTAAGATAAGTGAAAGTATAGTCAGCTATTAGTGTGAGCACTTATTTATTTGGAAAAATCAATAGAGGTGGTGGTTTCTGTTTTTAGGGGTCCCATCTGCTAAACTTCTGTTGAGTTTTATCACTGTAGATTTCTGTATCTAGATATTTTCTCATGCTACTGGGGAGTGGCAGCCTGAGGAATAAACGGTGTGGTGTCATTAGTAACTGATAACAGAAGATGGTGCCTGAGGAAGGCATGAAATAGATAAGGTTTCAATCACAGGAGGATAAGTTTTCAAATATGCACCATCTACGTGGTATATAGCACAANAATGGTGCCTGAGGAAGGCATGAAATAGATAAGGTTTCAATCACAGGAGGGTAAGTTTTCAAATATGCACCATCTACGTGGTATATAGCACAATTTGTTTGGATGATTTAAGAGTTGACTAACTTTGGATACAAGTGGTGAAAAGTACTAATCAGTGTGATTTGACACATTTTTATTAAAGTCTGCTTTTACTTGATTGAAAACAAATAATGTTAATTGAACTTACTATATTTGGGTATTCCCTCCCAATCTTCTTTTCAGCTATGTGATGATGATGCCATTTAAACGGCAGGCTCTAGTGGAATTTGAGAACATAGATAGTGCCAAAGAATGTGTGACGTTTGCTGCAGATGAACCTGTGTACATTGCTGGGCAACAGGCTTTTTTCAACTACTCTACAAGCAAAAGGATCACTCGGCCAGGAAATACTGATGATCCATCAGGAGGCAACAAAGTTCTTCTATTATCAATTCAGAATCCTCTTTATCCAATTACAGTGGTATGGATTTTTAATATGACAAACTAAAAAGGGATTTTGGAATTTGCTGCTAGAGTGACTAACAGTTTTCTTCACTGCCATCTGGATATTTAAAAATAATGGTGGTTTTTAGAATTATTAAAATTAATCTTAGTTTTGACTTGTTTAATGAACAAAGAAATGGTGAGCACTGATGCTAAAAAGGTCAGAAGCACATTTGTCATAATTAAAAAAGCACATTTAAAATAAGCACATTTAAAGCAATAACTATTTCTAATAAGGGATTAGACAGACTTGTTGGAAATGAACCAAGAACTCTCTCTCATTGATGCCAGCACATGTGTCAAGAGCATCCCAGTGCTAGGCAATGACAGACTCCCATAGTATAGTAAGATGCATATGTCATTATTATAAGGTCCTTTGATATAGCTTCCTAAAAACTGTCCTGATTTACTTAAAATTCCCTGCTTCACTCGTTAAAAAAAGTGATGTTAGTAGAATTTTAAAAAGGATTCATGTTCTGAGCCAGTTGAGTGTCCTACATTATAATCACATGCTGTTTCACAATAAGCTAGTAACACAGACACTTGACTTTTGTAATGAATAGAAAACACAGTAAGGGAAACTTCATTTAGTGTCTTTTCTAGTAAAGGTATATGATATTGGGACATACATATATATAGCATTGTATGCTTTAAATTTAATTACATATTTATCTTTATATTTATAGACAATGTACAGTGTTACTATATTTACAATATTTGGTGTTTTGGGAAAAGAATATAACTTAATCTCATACAGGTACTCTGGTTTGTGTATTGTTGTATCCCTAGTACCTAATGATGCAGCTATGTAATTGTAGGTATTCAAGAAATTTCTAGGTGTTTTTTTTTTTTTTAATGTATCTCTATTGATTTCAGAGAGAGGAAGGGGGGGAGAGAGAGAGATAGAAACATCAATGATGAGAGAGTCATTGATCGGCTGCCTCCTGCATGCCCCCGACTGGGGATCAAGCCCGCAACCTGGGCATGTGCCCTGACTGGAAGTCGAACCACGATCTCCTGGATCCTAGGTTGATGCTCAACCACTTAGCCACGCCCGGCTGGGCATCAAGAAATTTCGTGAAAGTTGAATTGTTCCTAAGAAGATACTTAGGTTTTCTCTTCGATGATTCAGGCACCTTGTTTGATCTCATCTAACACTATATAAATGATCTTCCCTGGGTCTTTTCTGAATAGACGTTGTTCCTTGAAAAATGGATACTGAGTTAATTCTACTACCGCCCCTTAATAAAATTTATTACCATAATTCAAGTGATTATAATATGAAACATTTCAGAGTCATATTTGGAAAAAACAAATTATTGATTACAGTTTTGGTATTAATTGTGTATAGTCAGTATTTTAATCACTGGTTAAGAAAATAAAAATTGAGGATTGGTAATAGTGCTTTTCAAATATTTCATTGGAGCTTCTCTAATGTGTGGGTATGTTGTGTAGGTGAAGAAATAACTTTAGATTTATTGAAGTTTAACAATTTTTAAAGTTTCAGTAGTAATTATTAATAGAAGTGACATCTCGATAGTTTTTTTGTTACTGTTTTTTAGTAAAGGAAATCAGTGTGTAACTTTAATGTTTTTCTAAATATAAAATGTAAAGAAACCTTTTTCTTTCCTTCTTAGGATGTTTTATATACTGTATGCAACCCTGTTGGAAAAGTGCAACGTATCGTTATATTCAAGAGAAATGGGATACAAGCAATGGTTGAATATCCTTTATTTGTAGTTTTTTTTATTGATTTGTATGAATGCTGTGTAACATAGACCTTATTTTTCCTGCATAATCATTTCTAGACAATTCATTTTTATTCCCCCCCAATCTCTTTTTCTGAAATTAAAAAAAATGAAACTGTAGTACCCACAAAGAAGTTTGCTTGCTACCATAAAACAGTCCAGTGCTTCATCTTACACTGTGCTTTGCATTTTTAATGAGGAAAAATAACAGTTTGATAATATGTACACTTTTACGTTTTTGAAATTTATCTTGAACTTTTCTGATTCTCTTCTGAAAGTAGGTCATTTGGAAGTACCAAAACTTTAGAATCAATAGAACCTTTCTTACCTCTCTTTATTGAATCTTAAATGGTCATAGTTTATGTAAGAACTATGTTTGTTGTATTTGTTAGGCATTGAGTAAAAACAGCAAGTTGTAAAAAATAGTATAGTACAATCCCATTTGAAATAATAATTTTAAAAAACATATACATAGAGTAAGGTTAGGGATATACAGCAAACTCTTATAATGGTGTTGCTGGCAAAGTGTGTTTTGACTTTTTTTTTTTTTACCACTTATTTTTTAGGGGAAAAGAATTATAGACTTCTGTAATGTTTAGAAACCAATAAAATAAGATATTTACCAATAAACCAATAAAATAAGATATTTACCAAAAATTTTTAGAAACCAATAAAATAAGATGATTATAAAATCAAGCCTTTTCAGAAATATATAGAAATTAAGTGTTTGTGTTGTATTATTTTGGTTCTTTGTAATGTTAAGAGTAAAATATTTCCTGTTTCAAGATAGCAAGCTGTCTTTTGCTAGGGAATGTGACCATGCTCCTTTCCCCTTCTCTTCAACTTATAAATTACTTCTGATTACTTAGGATTAATGTGTAGATAGATGGGTTGTATTATGGTGATTTTTTGTTTTGTTTTTATATATTTCACTGATTCTTTTTTATTTTTTAATTTATTTTTAAAGTTTATTTTTCAGTTACAGTTGACATACATTATTAAATTAATTTCAGGTGTACAAACATAGTGATTAGACATGTTATATACCCTACAGTGGTACTGTTGATCTTAAAAATAAATTCCCCTAGTAAAACTCATCTAGAAATTCTATTTGTTAATACATTTCCAGAAGTGAGAGTTATTTCTAATTTTTAAAGTCTTTTTCTTAGGGATTGGATAATGATTAAATATTGGACATCTTAAACCAGATTTCCTTAATAGAGCTTATGTTTGAATCAGTCCTTTGTGCCCAGAAAGCTAAAGCAGCACTCAATGGAGCAGATATCTATGCTGGATGTTGTACACTAAAAATCGAATATGCAAGGGTAAATATTTTTTCCAACATTTCACCACAGAAATATTTATGCTTTGGATATACAATTTGAACTTACTTTCTTTTTAATCTTAACAGCCAACTCGTCTAAATGTTATTAGGAATGACAATGACAGTTGGGACTACACTAAACCATATTTGGGAAGACGAGGTAAGTATTTTATTCATTTTAGAATGTACTTATATCTGCTGAAAATTTTTACATGCAGTTAGATTCCTTTTTCCTGAGAAGAGCTAGTTCATTCAAATGAAAATCTTGTTGGTGAATGCTTTTGTTGCAAAAGGCCATGTAATGCTGGAAAATAACCTTGAACATTAGTGCCCCCTACTGGTATGTACTGAGTTATTTATATTTAGTTCAACAAAGGAGCCCACACATACAAGCACGCCCGCAGTTCAAGGACTTGCATTTCTCCAAGCAGCTCTCTCTCTTTGGAGGAGAGGAAACTGATTCAGAATATTCCTTACAAACTTCAAACTTGCACACTGCTTCTCTATGGAAAGGACTTTCCCCCCAAGCTGGACGAGGCATTAAGAAGGATAGAGGACTCCAGCAGGCTGACTCTACACTTCATCATGCACAACATCGGCATCAGCAAAAGCCCTCTGAAAAACTCAGACTTGCAATTCACCTTGACTGCATACTGCATGCACCATCACCCAAGTTTGTAAAGGAGGACACTTACAGTACTTCAGACTTGCATGGGATGAACACCATGATAGACTGTGCCCATTTATTCAAGTTGTATGTATATATTGGTCTGATTTCCCTTAAAGTTTCAGTTGTAGAATTTAAGATTTTTCACTAACGGATACTAGACTTTACCTACAATGTTGTAAATCTTAATGCCCATTACTGTAACTGTTTGCAGCTTAGATTCAAATTGTTAATTGGCAAATAACCAGGGCCAATTTATCTACAGGTCTTGGGAATTGATAATGCTCAACCAATCCACACAGATATTAAAGATAAAAGGATTAGAAAGGTGCACACTTGCTGCACTTAAGTTTTTTATTTCCCTCAAGTGTGTTCATTGAATAGAATAATATAATGAAAAGGTGCATTATATGTAAAAGACTATATTTTCTGTGTGGTTTGATTTTTGTAAAGTGGCTGTTTATAAGTTGTTACTTTTTGTAACAATTTAAGGTTATCACTCATGTTAATTTGTATAACTAGAAATTTTGATATTTCAAATGTAGGTGAAAGTAACATGTCTGTTCAAGGTAGAATATATTTAAACTTTATAAATCTGAAAATAAGAGCAGTTCATTTGAGATACATATTCACCTATAACCTATAAATGCTAGATTTCATGAGCATAGATTTTACTGGTAAAATTGTTCAACTAAGTGTGTGGCAATTTTGGAATATACAGATTAAAATGTGGATCTTGTAAAAACAAGGGGGCTGCAATATTGGCTACATCTCAACTACAGTATCAGCATTTGAACCATATGTTGGGAAAACTCACCAAGATGAGTATATCTGTAAAATTTAATCAACTAGGAAGAATTTTTATGGCATCCAAAATACCTTGGGCAGTAGGGACTCTATAGTGTGTGAACTCTTGCCCAAAGGTAAAATACAATGCAGTGATCCTTTGCCTGTTCAAATATTTAGGACTTTTGGATGATTGGCCCCTTTCATTCTCAATTCTCAGGAAATCATCTTGCCTTACATATGGGTGACAAACATTTGCTTTGTAATGCAGCTTTGCCTGGACCCCTGCATTTTTCACTACTCAAGGAAATCTGCTTGGTGTAGGCTCGTGCAGTTGAATACAGTATTGGAAAACAGAGCCTCAGCACCAAACACCAGAACAGTGGTTGATGAGAAATCTCTCACGTCTGTCAAATTATAGTTAGTTATTGAACACTCAGGGTTTTTGTTTTTTCTTTTACTTATTTGAAATAGTGGTTTTGGTTACATTTCTCTTAATGTCTCTTAAAACGTTTATAGACATGCTTCTCATGTTAATAGTGTTAACACCTATTCTTTTATAAGGTCTAAAGTTTACACAAAGCCAGCTTACATTTGTTTTCATGCAAGGAATTACAGTCAGAAAAGTTTAGCAAAATGTGTAAGGTAGATATTTAAATAGTGAAGTATAATGAAAGGAAGTCAAACAATTTTAGTAGTTTATGCTTTCAAGGGAAAAGAATTTTTGTTTTCTAATTCTTTATAGGTAGATATTTGTCTGGAAGACTGTAGCAGTTTATGTTTTTGTTCTTGTAGTGACTAGCTTCTACTCAAGTTGATATTGAATTGTATCTTTTTCTACCAAAACGCTTTTTATAAATATAGCCTCATTTTTAAAAGTCCTTTTCAGCCCAAATTACATTTTAGCAAAGAATTCTTAGCCTGGACTTCAGGGAATCACTCTAGAAATGTTAAGCAAAACTTGTCTGTATATGTGTCTCTAGGGGGAGAAGGCCCATAGCTTCTGTCAGATTTCAGATGAATCCAGGAAAGGTTATAAGCCACTTCTTATAGATGGGAGTATTCAGTGTCTGACGCTTCTACACACTTCTATCTTATGTGACCTTACATTAGGCAGCGAATGCTTCAAAGAAAGAGTATTATTAATGATGAAAATATTTGGCTGACAGGTACCTTGGAGATCATCTACCCTAACTCCTTCATTTTATGAATGAAGATTGTTTCTGTGATTATATAGCAGATTAGTGATTAAGTGGGGATATTCTGATTCTCAGTCCACTGCTCTTTCCTTTATAGCACACTGTTAACTATATCAATAATACTGAGCCTTGGAAACATGATGGTTTTGGTTTAAGATTCCTAGATCAGATAAGGAATTATATTTAGTGTTTGGTGGCATGCTTAAATAGAGGTACATTAGCACAGTGTATCAGCAGATTGGATTGGTTCACGAGGAGTGAGACTTAAGTGATGATGCCGGAAGCCATGTAATGAAATGAAAAGAAGGAACTATGAATGTTTAGACTGGAGGAGAAATGACCTTGGGGAAATGGAGGGAGGATCATCATAGCTTTTAAACACTTGGAAGGGTTTTTGATGGGATAGAATATGGGTACAGGACTGTTTCTATACAATACAAAAATAAATTTCCTGATGATTTAGGACTACCTTGAAAATGTAAGGGAAAGTAGTGAGTATCTTGTTACTGGTGTTGGGTAAGCAGAAGCTAGATGGACCCAACTGGTCAGGGTGATGTAAAGAGAATTTAGACACTGAATAAAAGTTGAACTAGATGACCTCCTAGGTCCCTATCAGTGCTGCAATAACTTGGAATGGGTAATTAATACAATATTTCTCTAGACTGAAGTGAAAATGAAAGTATTTCTCATCTCCCATAAACCTCATTTGTTTAGGTGACTAAAGATATATTAAAAGCCTCTTTCTGAATTTTCAAAGATTAGAATGACTGGACTCTTAAGATACATTTTTTAAAAATCTTACTGGACACTATAATTTGATCAGCAAACTTTCTAAAAGTATTGTACAATGAATTTTAAAATTTACTAACCAACGTAGGAAGTGCTATTTTAGAAACTTACTTTTTGTTGACATCTCACATTAGATTTGGGGAAATTGGCATGCCATCCCTGAAAATGTAGCTAAAATAAAAATTATCCTTTAGGACTATTGATTGTAGTACTCTCATCCAATAATGTAGCCCCCTTGGTTAGCTTAATCTTGGCATATTTAAACTTTGGGGGGTGCTCGTAGTCCTGCCTGGTGTTAAGATCTATACACAATGACCAGTCCATGATATAATCTGGGCCAGTGATGTGCAAATTTCCAGCTCTCAAGTCTAGGTGTTTGTAAATATGTGTATATACATACAAAATACTCTGTGTTTACTGATTGTGAAACCATGTAATACAGGTTGTTGTTGGCTTATGCTGAACTTCTTGAAAGAAGCCCACTTTGAAAATGTGTTGCTGTTGAAGCTAATAGTATGATTCAGGTACTGTCTTTCAAAAGTACTGCACTTAAAGCTTGTTTTAAAGACATGTATTGGTAAAAACTTCTGTACAGTGTCAAACTCTAGCATTGTGTACATTCACTTTCTGAAAAGTATCCATTCTTCTTAAACTTGAAAGTGTGATTGTATTTGGCATTTGCCAAAAAGATATTTTCAAGTTAAGTGGAGTTTGTTAGATAGAAGTACTTCCTTAAACTTTTGGTGTTTGTATTTAAAATGGATATGAATGGATGTTTAAAGTTAACCAGGAATCATACTTCTTTTATGAATTGTAATGGATGTTTTGAATGGGTTTTCCCATGTGAGAACTCTGTTAAGTACTTGAGTCAAAATTGTTAAAACCATGTTTCTACTTTTGTGTCAGATAGAGGAAAGGGTCGCCAGAGACAAGCCATTTTGGGAGAACACCCTTCTTCGTTTAGACATGATGGCTATGGTAAGTTTGTCAAGGCAGAAGGAAGGTAGTATAGATGAACTGTTAGCATTTTTGCATTTCTGATGAATGGCACATTTCTTGTTTTCTATTTTTCCTGCTCACCTGACTTGGTTTATATGGGATTGTTCCCTTATAACTACTCCCAAGGAGTTGTCCAAAATCTTCTGTGTTTTTTTTTTTAGAATATTGATATATCATACAATCCTTGAGAGAAAGGAGAGCTGTTGGTTGGGGATTTGAAAGCTTTTTTACCGTTATGTTTTGTTTTGTTTTGTCTTGGTTTTGATTAGTAATGGGCTCTGGTTCTGTTAGAGGACCAAAAAGAAGTATTAGTTGCTCAGTAAGTGTATTTTGTTCCATTCTAGCAATTATGAGCAAAGAGGAATTTTGAGTAATAAAGGCAGAAAGAATGGGGTATTTAGTGAAAAGGAAACATGTTTCTGGTTAGATCTTTTTTAGTTCTACAGCTGGTATTTTGGCTTTTGGTTATATTGGTTTTATATAATTTCTCTTAAAACTTATTTAGTTTTAATGTTTGCTATGTTGGTAAGTTAAGATTATAAAACCTAGAATAATATTCTTCCTCAGGAAAGAGGTATCAGGCTATTGTCCTTGTGAGTAGATGTTGAGAATTACTATTGATAAGATTTTTAACTGGTTATAAGTTCTGTGGTTTTAAACATTTTCTAGTTTTTAAAAAGCATTAATTATTGACCCCACCTATTCTGTGGCTTAAAGTTGACGCCCAATGCTATTTGAAGTACTAGAAAATAGAAATTGCTATTTCTGTTGGGATTTTTCATTGAAAATCCCTCGTTGTTGCCAGTTGTCTGAAATATTTTCAAATTTGCCTGCATGTTTGATGATCATTCGTAGCTGTGAGTTTTAGCCTTTTCCCTGTTGTCTTTTTTGGAACTCCAGGAATTTATCACGTGTGTGTTTGTTGAAGTTTCTATAGTAGTCTATATGGCAGAAGAAATTAAAACAATATATCATAAGTGTGGTGTAGAGAATTAAAATCTTACTCTGTGCACAGTCATTTTAGTGTGTGTTCCTTGATAATTTGTCTTAGTTTCTTTAACAGTGTGAATATTAAAAATGGTCCCATGGGTAGTTCTGACCCTGCAGTAAAGAAACACTTATTAGGAGCCCACTGTGCTTTGCGTGATGGAGGGTTAGGAAAGAATTGCTAACCACAAGTTTGTAGTGGAGTTGTGGAATATATAACTGTCATGGGAATCAGCTGAAGGCTAAAATTGGTTAAATGTTTTGCCAAAGCAGACTAGGAAAATCTGTGAAAGGATAATGAAGGGTGAAGAACTCTACTGTAGTAGTGTTGACACAGGCTGTTTTTTCAGTGTGAGTTTTCAGGTTTTCCATTCTTTATAAATTCATCTTATTGAAAAATTTTATAAACAAAAGTATGTTATATGCCCTAAAAGAACTTTGTATTTTTTTCAAAAGCCTGTTGTAAAATACTTTGTCAGTTTTATCCCCTAATTTATTCAGAGTGTTTGTTTGTGTGTATGTATATAAATTTTAAAATGCAAGCTTACTTAAAGAGATAAGGTGCAGGGATATTTGGAGTGATGATGGTTGTTAAATAGGGATCTTTCAGGCTCTCGAGAGTCCTGCTGAAGAGAAATGGTTGTGGTGGGGTTGGATAGTGGCATCCATTCTGAGCTATGTCCATTGAAACAATTGAGAATAATCCTACTTTCCTAGGGAAGTAAACAGAATAGGGTGTAGGAGGGGAGAGGGATGGGGTGGAGGGCAGGGAGAGAGAGAGATGAATATAAAGTAGAGAAGTAAGGGTGACACTGGGGAAAGGCAAGGAAGATGGGAGTAGGTTCTAGTGATACTGAACTTTTTTACAAATACTGCAAATCACAGCTGTGTCCCCTAGTTCAGCAGTTCAGCAAAACAGGTTTATTTGCATTTTTGTGCCATATCATGCATGGCTTTTCCCTTATGTTGGTATGTAAAAGGTTTAATTGTTTAATTAGATTAAACTCATTATTTAATTTATTATAACAGTATAAATCTATGCTTTCAGAATTCCTTAATTCTTTTTATTTGGGAAGCCCAGCCCTATGAGATGAACTGGTGGAAGCCCTTATATTTGAAAAGTGACAAAAATAAATATACAGATTTATTTGTTATGAGCCCAAGAAAAGTTTGTATATTAATTGCTAGTATCTTTGGATATTATGGTTCCTGGACCAAAGATTTTAGAATATCAAAGAAGGAAAATGCATTCAAAATGTTAATAATGTCCATTTATGTAGCATTTTTTCACGTAAGTGAATTTTTTAATACCTGAAGCATAAGTTTTTTTTAAGCAACAAAACTTTTTTGCATAAACTATTTAGTATAGAAAACTTTTAAAAGACTTCTATTTTATCTTCTTAAACAATATAGGTAACAATTTAAGTTCTGTAGGTAACATAATTTAATCCTGATGGCTCAAGGTCATAATTTTAAATATCACTTATACTCTTGCACTGAATTTGATCGTTACGTATGGCAGTAGATCTCAAAGTTTTTGACCTTGGCCAACTTAGGCAGAGTGAAAGGTTTCTGCTGCCTGTCTACTATACATCTTTCCACTTTCCATGGAAAAGAAATTTAGCAATAATAGTGAAGTGTCATTACTGTACAAGCAAGTGGTGGGGTGGGGTGCAGTATAATATGTATATGTACTTTTGCAGTAGGGGTAAGAATGATCTATATATGACCCCAGTGTATGTATAACAGCTTAAGTTAGAGGCCAAAATATGTGTAGTTACTAAGAAGTAACTCACCATGAACTATATTGATTGTTTTGATAAACTATCAGTTACCAGCAAGAATAGCAGTTGAAAACCTGAACTAATTTAAGGCAACACTGATGATGATGCATTGATAAAATATTCCTCTATACCAACAATTTTCAACCTTTTTCATCTCATGACACACATTAAACTAATTACTAAAATTCTGTGGTACACCAAGAAGTATATCTTTGCCGATCTGACAAAAATAGGTATAATTTTGATTCGTTCAACTGGATACCTATTGTTGTGTTGGCTGTGGTCATTTTTTTATTTGACAATCTAAGAAAAGAAAGGTCAGTGCCCCTGACTAAGAAGTCAGCTATTGCATGTTTTAAAAATTCTTGTGGCACACCAGTGTGTTGCACACGGATTGAAAGTCACTGCTTTATAAAATTGCAGGAATTCACATAGTTTGCATGTGCTCAATGGTAGTGTTGCTGTGTTGTTATGAATGGCAGCTACATTTAGAATACTGAATACTGAATTGGGGTCTACCTAACTCTAATAGCATGCTATAATACCAAAATACAGTAGTTCTTAGTAACTCACCTGGTAGATGACAAGTGTCCTCTTATTCTTTGTTATTTTAGTCTTACATAAAGGTGAAAGTTAGAAGCATTATATACTCTTCACTTTTGAGAAACGAGGAAAGGACTTGGGTTTGGACTCGTTTCTTGCCCATCAGAAGGACCTTTGCATGTATCCCAGAGTATGCTTCTGCGATTACTAACTCAGGGGCACCTAAGATGTGTCAGTTTCTATTTCGGAGCTACCAGCCTTGAGCTTAGTTGCCTCTTTTGAGTTCTTAAGCCTCTCGTTGCTGTGAGAGTGCCCTGTGCCTACTTCACAGCTTCTCCAGACCCACTCATCCCTGGTCTTTCATTCATCTAGCTCTCTTTTCCTTGTTACTTCTAGTCTGTTGTGGAGGGGAAAACCAGATGAAGTTGTTTAGAACTACTCTAAAGTTGGCAGGTTGATTCTTAAGAATTCTTAATATAAGAGACATAGATTTTGTGTTTCTGTGACAACAGGTTCAGATACTCAGCTATTTTCTTCTGGTTCTTGATGTTGCAAAAAATGGGTTGCCGAATGACACCTGAATAGGTGTGATATAAACTAAATCTATGGTTTTAGTTACCTGAATTAGAATTGGAATAAAATACTAACCTGAAAGTACATTATAGTAAATTATATTTAAAGGAGACAACTTTTCATTGGAACTAAAGGTGTCCTTTTTGTTATATCTGTATAAAGACAGTTTACTAGATTTCACTGTATGTTATTGTATTATCCTCTAAAAGACATTGACAGAAGGTGTTTTTAAAACTTGAGTTATAATGTATATACAGTGGCCCAAAGATTTACACTGATTTCCCCCTCTCTATCTATGGCCTGATCCTATATACTTTTTTGGGTTAAACTACTGTTTTTTAAATATATATAAACATAAAACCTGATGTATGCCGGTGCATGCGGGCCAATATATATTGGATCTAGTACAAATAAATGTAGATTTTATTAATTCTCACAGGTTATATTTGAACATTCATGCAGTTGAGTTTTCTTTGGACATACATTAGACTATAGTAAGAGTTTATTTTTTGCGTGGTATAGTGTATTTGCTAAAGCTGTGTTTTCTCTCTCTCTCTCCCT